CCCATTACAAGTTTTTTGATAAAGTATCATCACTTCAGGATATACTCCATGCATTACAAGTTAAAATGGATCTCCTAATAGTCAATAAATATGCCAAATGCATGACATAGCACAGGAGACAAAGGCTTTTTCATATGCTGGACATTGTGATAGAAACCCCATAGGAAGCACTGCTTTATAGATCCTGTTCAAAGCTATTTTTCAAGTACTTCATATTTAACTCATTTATTAAATAAATAAAACCAAACATGACTCATTACCTGTTCCTTAAGGTCTTTAACCTTGGACTTTTCTTTCTCCAATGAATCCTGCAAAGCTTGAATAAGCTGTTTCATTTGTTGATCTTCTTCCTCTTTCCGCTTTAGAACTGCCTGAACCTGCATCATTTCACAAAGTCAAAGATTCAGTTGTACAAATAGATTTTTTTATGTAGACTCACTGGAAGACCAGAAACACGAATATGGGAAGTATTTAAATACTAGCCAATGCAGGGTTGGCAAAACTGCCCTCCCCTGTTCACTGATAATTCTTCCATTCAAACTTAAAAGTAGCCGTGGTTAAATTGTTGTGTGTTAAAGGCTACTCATTGTCTAAACTCCTTCCTTTACCCCAGGAGTATATTACCATTGGCATAAAAAATTAACATTAATCTCAGTGATTCACTACATGACACCATCGCTAGATTCCAACCATCTTAAATACAGAGTACTTTCACTACTGCAAGTATATTTCTTATTGTGATTTTTCTCCAAGAAAAACAACTCTAGGGAAAAAAAAAACTAGGGGAAAAAATACAGCAACATATTCTTTAACAATAATTTGCATCTAATTGTACAAATGAATACTTCTAAATCTGGTTATCAGAAATACTAGCTAAATTGCTCTCTTAAGATATTACAGCCAGAAGTTGAATACCTGTAGGTTCAGCTGTACCAAATCTGCTTCTCTTTTTGCTAATGCTGTTTCAAGGATATTGTTGTGCTCTCGCAAAGCAGCGTTGGCCTGACTAAGACCTGTAAGCTTTCCTCGTTCATGTTCCAATTCAAGGGACAGCTTCTTATTAATTTCTTCTAAACGTTTTATCTTCCTCCTAAAGCCTCTAGATTCCTGAAGCTATAACAAAAAAGAAGAGGGGAAAAAAAAATCACATAAATATTGTGAAGAAGTTGTGATCTAAACTGATTTAACTTTATTGTTAGTGTTTTTACTTACTGATTTTTTAAAGGACACTTTAAAAACGTGTTCACTTAACATTCTTTTATCCTTTAGGAAGACTAAAAACCTTGCTAAAAGCAGAACCCGTATATACTTTTTCAGATGCAGAAGACGTGTGATTGGATTAGT